ATCTCATATAAATGGAATCATATATGGCTTTTAGTTGCCATATGGTAGTTTTGTTTTTTTTTGTGTTTTGGAATTGCTGGGAATTGAACTCAGGGTCTTGCCCATGCAAGGCAAGCACTCTGTTGCTGGCCTATGTCGCAGCCCATGCCATATTATTTTAAAAGTTTGTCCATATTATAGCATATATGAGTTCTTCATTTTTATTCTTACATCTTATTGTCTTATAATATTCCATTATATCCATTTATTATATCCAATAAATAAGTACATTTTATTTATTCAGTCATAGGTGATAGACATTTGTATTTTTCCCACTTTTTATCGCTTAGTAATAATGTTGCCACGAGCATTTGGTGTACAAATTTTTATGTGAATATGTATTTGCGTTCTCAAGTGTATACCAAAACATGGAATTGCTATGTCACATGTCAACTATGTTTAATTATTTTGAGGAACCTTGAAATTGTTTTCCAAAAGAGCCACATCATTTTACGTTCCTCCCACCAAATCATTAGGAGGTTCATATTTCTCTACATTCTCATCAAGGTTCTGTTTCAGCCATGGAATAGCCACTTTGTTAGTAAGTCTTAATTCCTTTTATTTTATTTTTTACTTTTTATTTATTTTTTGTTTTTTTTTCTGGTACCGGGAATCGAACTCACGACCTTGGGCTTGCCAGGCAGGCGCTGTGCTGCTGAGCTAAATCCCCAGCCCCTTAGTTCCTTTTAGAGGAGAATAATACTGCATTTAGAAATCAAATATGCGCTAGGTATACTCATTACTACATGGGGTTGGGGAGCTGCTGATCCAAGATCCTTTGTGGATAAAGCTAAAATATATATTTATTTGTATATATATACACTAACATATACACATAGATAGACATATACACAAGCATACGTATTTGCATCTTTTATGGTTGTCAGTATCTGTGTTTGTGGGATGCCATTAGTTTACACTAATACCTTGAATTCAAAACCAAGGTATGATCCCATATGATCCTGTCTAGTGTTCCTTTTCCACATTTAATGTTGTGTTCTCCAATAGTCAGAAATCCTGCTCCTGTTGTCCTCCATGTAGTTAGTCACTTGTGTAATCCATTTCTCCATACATTACTAATCTCCTATTACTGCTACATTGGCCCCTACCCTGTTACTTATTTTGTTTGTTTGTTTGTTTGTTTGTAGTCTTTTTTGAGCATGGTTTCACGATGCAGTTCAGGCTGGCGTTGAACTCACTTTGTAGCCCAGGTTGGCCTCGAATGCACAGTGATCCTCCTGCCTCAGCCTCCTAAGTTCTGGAATTACAGGTGTACGCCACCCCACCAGCCCCTCTTCCTTATTCTGTGTAGGTTCTGACCTACTGCCCTGGACTTCTTTCTCCCTCATTCACACCTCTTCTGAATGTGGATACCCTCCTCACCCACTTAGCTAGACCATCCCCTTCATATGAACTCCTTTCCTACCTCTCTTGGGCTCTGATATCCCACAGTGGGCCTATTCTTCTGTCTATATGACTTTCTTACCCTCGTAGGGCTCTGATACGCTGGCCCACCCCTAAGAAAGGACATCTGTCTTACCCTACTTGGACTCTGCCTCCTCATTCCAGGGATGTCCTCACCTTGCTTTCATGTTTATATATATATTTTTCCTTTGACTGTTCTGGAGATTGAACCCAGGGCCTGGTGCCTGCTAGAGTAATGCTATACATTGAGCTATATTCCCAACCCTACTTATTGAATTTTTAACGATGTTTTTACCTTTTATTTTTTAAAACACTATTTTAATTGCACAGGAATTTACAAAACAGTGCAAAGATTTTTCACCCAACTTTTCTCATTGGTTACATCTTACATAAATATAGACAACATCAAAACCAAGAAATTGACATTAACTTAATGTGTGTGTATACTTCCTCTGCCATTTACCATGTGTATAGATTTGTGTAACCATGATCCCAATTGAGGTACAGTGCAATTCTGTTACCCTGAAGATCTCCCTTGTGGTATTGCTTTGAAGTCATGTGCACCCTTCTCTCCTGACTGTACAATATTTAATGACTTTTTATAATTAAAAACATTATTAAAACTCATAGGAAGAGCTAAGGAAGCATAGAGATAAAATGTGTTATGTTTCTGGCTAGGAAAACTTAATGTCAGTCTGACTTCTAAGTGCAAAGCATGTTAAGAATTCTAATGTCTCAAGACTGATTTTAATAGCATTCTTTTCCATCCCATTCTGTTGTTGAGTTTTAGGACCACTAAAGGGAGTAGCTTTAGAAAACCCTGTCTGGCCCTCTCTCCAATAAGTTTGCAGTCAGTGACTCTCATCCTTCCTGCTAGCTTTCAAACTTCAGGGCTAAGAGGTACTGTCTGGTTTTGCAGATTGTTACCCTTAAGTTCCTATGTATTGTTTTTTTGAGTTTTTGGTTTTTTTCTGGTACCAGGAATCGAACTCACGACCTTGCACTTGCCAGGCAGGTGCTGTACCGCTGAGCTAAATCCCCAGCCCCGTTCCTATGTGTTGTTACCCTTCAGTTCCTTCTTATTTCTGTGGCTTGGTTGGTTTTGTTTTGTTTTTGTTGTAGCTTTACAGCACTTGTATATCTCCCTTTATAATAATTTTTTGTGTAGAATTTCTATATGCAGAATGGGAAAGAGTACTTACGAACTGTCTTGGTGTGCTCTTAATTTTTCCTTTAAAAGATTTCAATCCTATAACCTCCATTCTGTTCCAGTTGATCCACAAGGGTTTTTTTTTGTCATTAACATGCTGTTTTCATTGTTGTAGCTTTGTAGTATAACTTGAATTTGTGATTGTGATATCCCTAGCCTTTTCCTTGTTGCCTAGAATTGCTTTTGCTGTACTAGGTCTCTTATGGTTCCATATAAATTTTAGGATTGTTTTCTCTAGTTATGTGAAGTGTGCTATTGGAATTTTAATTGAGATTGCATTAAATCTGTATAAGAGTTTGGAAGTGTGGCTATTTTCACGACATTGGTTCTGCCTCTCCAAGAAGAGGGAATATTTTTCCCTTTTCTTTTCTTTCTTTCTTTCTTTTTTTTCTTTTTTCTTTTTTTTTTTTTTGAGACAGGGTCTCATTATGTAGTGCAGGCTGACCTTGAACTTGCTTATGTAGCCCACACTGGCCTTGAAGTGATCCTCCTGCTTCAGCATCCCAAGTGCTGGGATTACAGGCAAGAGCCACCATACTCGGCTTTCCCTTTTTGATATTTTCTTTGATCTCTCTTTTTTTTTTTAGAGTACTATAGTTTTTATTATAGAGGTCTTTCACTTCATTGACAAGGTAATTCCTAAGTGTTTCATTTTTCTTGATGCTGTTGTGAAACATGTTGTTTCTGTAATTTTCCCTTATTGAGCTTATTTGTATATAAGAATGCAGTTGACCTTTGAGTGTTGACTTTGTATACTGCTATGTTACCAAATTTGGTTGTTCTAGAAGTCTCTTTGTAGAATTTTGGTGATGTTGCCTTTTCCCTCCTTCCTTCCCCCGGCTTGACTTCTTCCTTTTTCCCGTCCATCTTTTCTCCCTTCCTCCCTTCCTTTGTCCTTCTCTAGAGATCATACTCAGGTCCTTGCATATGCTAGGCCAGCACTGTGCTGCTGAGCCACATCTGCAGCCCTGTGTGTTTTCTGGATGTAGGACCCAGTCAGTGTTAATAGATCTCATTTGGTTACATAATCTCTTTGGAGTCTTTTAATTTAGAATGATCATATTTTTTGTACTTTCTTCTTACTATGTTAAAAACATTGATTTTTTTTTTAGAGTTCAGGTCATTTGTCTTATAGAATTCTCACGTTTTACATTTGCCTAATTGTTTCCTCATGATTAAATTTAAGGTAAATATTTTTGGCAAGAACATAGCACAGTTGGGCCGGGGATATAGCTCAGCAGCACAGTGCTTGCCTGGCAAGTGTGAGGTCCTGAGTTCGATTCCTGCTACCAATATCCACGTGTTAAACTATCAGTGATACTAAGTTAGATCATTTTGTTGAGATGGTAATTGTCATATTTCTTCATTGTAAATATATATTTCCTCCTTTGAAATTAACAAGTCATGTATGGGATGATACTTTGAGACATTATTTCTTCCCTGATAACCACTTGCCTAATGGTTTAGCTAGCATCTATTTTTGTGAATTCACAAAAATAATGAATAAACAGCTAGTCAGTAATTTGTACTGAACCCCAATTACTAACAAAGCAAGCATCAAAAATGGATGCTACCTAAACCCTTAGGCAAGACATTGCTTTCAGATCAGAATCATCATTAGAATTTTAGAACTAATATCCCTTACTTTATGCTTAAACTTTCCTGTAATTTCCCATTTGAAAAAAGTTTCATTTGAATAGAAATTTTAATTTTATCCTAATCAAAATGATGATACCCTTCCCAACATCTTTCTGTCCTTTGAAGCATGTTCTAATGAATGATGAAGTCTTCCCTCTGTGTTTAGTTCTAGAGTTGTCCTTTGATATCGGTGGGAGGTTGGTTCCAGGTCCCCTGCAGATACCAAAATCCATAATGCTCAACTTCCTTATGTACACTTGATCTTACACAAAAGGCTGAGAAGCACTTGAAATTCCTTATATAAAATGATGAAATATTTGCATATAACCTGTGCACATCCTCCCATATACTTTGAATTACCTAGATTACTTATAAAGCCTAATACAGTATAAATGATAGATAAATAGATATTATACTGTATTGTTTAGGGACAAGAAAAATTGTCCAAGTTCAGTACATATGAAAAAATTTTTCAAATATTTTCTATCCATAGTTAGATAGATATCTGCAGATACAGAATTCATAGATATGAAGGGACAACTATATTTTGATGATTGTCACATTAAAGGTTTCTAGACTTTATTAATGTTTGTGTTATTGTTTACTGTTGTCTGTGTATATTTATGAGATTTTATCCTCATACACTTAAGATTTATAAATTATATTTCAAATTTGATCTACTCTTTAGGTTTAAACAGGTCTCTTGAGTGGTTTCCTCACTAATGGAGAATTACTTCCAAGCAGAAGCTTACAACCTGGACAAGGTGTTAGATGAATTTGAACAAAACGAAGGTGAGAATTTACACTGGTGAATTTATTCTGATTTATGATATTCAGAATATGAGGATAAAAGTGGATGCAGTACTTTAAAAAGTAATAAAATCAGCTCTGATGATTTAATGACAATAATAATGATAATACACAGAAGAAGAAATAGCATTTTTAGCACTATGTGCCAGATAGTTACATGGATTATTTCATTTAATGTTTAAAACAATCCCATGAAATTTGACTCTCTTATCTCCATTTTACAGATGAGAATAGATGTACAATGAGTTTAAGCTAGGTCCCCCCAATTTTTCTTGCTAACAGTTGGTTCAGGATCCAGGCAGTGTGATACTAGAATTTAAACTTTACCTACCTGATACAGTTAATGGCCAAGAAAAGCTTTAGAATGTGTGCTTGCACTTCCAACACTAAGAAAAATAGCTTCTTCCATATTGATTGACCAATAAAGTAAAGATATGTATTAAATCTAACATTACTTGTTTCTTTTTGTGGTATTGTGGTTTAAACCTTGGGCCTTTGCACTGAGGTAAATCTGCCCCCCCCCCATATTTTTTGGTTTTGTTTTTGTTTTTGAGACAGGGTCTCACTAAGTCATTGAATTTCCTAAGGTGGCTTCTCAAAATACTGGGGTTATAGACATGTGCCACTATACCTGGTTTAAACCTCATTTTTAAAAGATTTACATTTTCTAGAACTGCTAAAATGGTTAATTAAGTTACACATTCTCAAGCTTCAGTCTAGTGATGTCTGCTTAAGATTGCCTTCATTTAGGGAAGTCTCTTCCCTAAATTTCTTTCTCAGTTTGTGTTTTCAACTTTGTAACAGAAATGCCATGTGACAGTTTTACAAACTGACATATTTGCATCTAAGTCCAAGGTTTTAGTAGTGGTCTCCAAACCTTCATTGTAGCTAGTTTTTCATGTTACTCTTTGATAGCAGTAGGAAGAGAGGTTAGTTTTGGTTTTGTTACTTTGAGTCTCTGCTAGAACAAACCCTAAGTAGAATATGGGACCATGGGGATGAGGAAAGAGCAGTATCTGGAATGGCCAGCTTTTCTCGTATTTCACCACCAATGACCAAGTATTCCTAGGCTCACTGCAGATTCATGTAAATGTGATATCTAATAATTTGGGGGATTTTATTGGATCCAGATGAAGTTTGTAATATCAAGCAAGAAGGTATTTTCTGAGATACAACCATTTGTACAAACGCTTTCTTAGTACTTGCTTCAGTTTAGCCCCCTGTATATTACAGATACTTAAGTTACTAAATATCTACACACATATTATACCTAATCATATAAATGCCATGCTTTCAGAATACTATTGACTCTGCTAAAACTATTAGTTTGCTACATTAGTCTCTTTCTAATTTTTGTAGATTCTAATAGAGTACTTTGTATGTAGTTGTTTTAGAGTACATTTTTGTTGAACCTGCAAAAATGTCTTAGCAAGTATAGCACTTCTTAAAAAAAATAATTCCTTTGGAGGGAGAAGGATTTCCCAAACCCATTTCTTCCTTGTAATTATGTAGGACTTTTTGTCTGAACTGTTTTTCAGTGTCAGTACCATTTACATTTCAGTGTCAGTAACTACAGCATCTAGCCTGGTACCTTAAAGAGTATGTTTTAAATGAAGTGGTTTCTTGTTTTGTATTTCTTCTTTAAATTAGGACCGTACCACAAATATACTGTGATGATGCTAGGTAATTAACAGTATGCCTTGGTAGTATGTGGTTAAATAATGAAATTTTTAGTATTTGATCATCCCTATTTGAATATTATTAACTATTCTTATAAGAAGTGTATCTCATTTCCAGAAACTAGCATGGAAATATGATTTTTAAAAAGGATCCATATTATTAAATCTCAGATTTAGTCTAGCTCAAATTTGGATTTAAATTTAGAATTTAGTAACTCAGAGGATACTAAATCCATTCTTTATATAATCTGGTGTTTTATGACTATTATCTGCCCTTTGTAGTTTCTTCTTTTTTTTTTTTTTTGGTTTTTCTCCGGTACCGGGAAC